TTTTCTATAGCCTTAAGCTTTAAAGCGTTTCATCCAGGTCGCCAGTAGCAAACAATGGAGCGCGCTCTGCTGGACAAACTAAGTAATTACACAATTTCAAGCATTTTATCTGCGTTATATGTTCTGTAAAAAAAAATTTAATATCGGCGGCATATTCGCTGATACCGATATATCGGAAACAGGCTCATATCGGCCGATAATATAGGCAAAACGATATATCGGTCGGGCTCTAATTTCTTATTATCATCAGTGTTGAAAACCGTTGTGCTGCTTAATTTTATTTTTTATCTAGATTTTTTTAGGATTCTTTAATAAATAATGTTTAAAAAAAGTCATTTATTTGACTTTTTGTAATATTATAAATGTCAGTCATATCTCACTGACCCTTAACTTTTGAATGGTGTATTTTGAATGGTGTAATGCTCAATTCCCATATTTACAAAAATAAATATTCAAAAAACAAAATTACGATACAGTTCCAAAAAACGATTTAGAAGTTGTTGTTTACTCAAGACAGTGGAAAAACATTGTGCCACTGTGCCACTAAAAACACTCTCGGCTGCATGATTTAACAAGCCACAAGACATGTTTTCATGAGAGCTCTGCGAGTATTTCCGCGTCTCTGGTTGACACAGGCAGGCTGTTGTTGTACTTTTTAAGAGGCTTGGTATAGAGACCATGTGTTTTTGATCATGTCAGTCTGGCCTCCTTCAGCCGCAGCTGGAGTTTGTCAGGCTCTGCCTCCCCAGGTGTGGGGACATTGGGAGTCTTTGCATAAGCCCCTTAGTGAGTACATGAACACGGCTGTTTCCAGTACACCAGCTGAATCACCACTGTTGCATAACAACATTTAGGCACTTGGTAATTCACACACTTGGATTCTATGTTGACCATTAAAGCCACAGCGACATGTATAAGATGTGTAACCCAACTCTAAAGTGCACTGATCGTGCCATCCTGTAGCAAACAAAAACAAAGCATCCAGTTTTTATGTAAACAGCCACACAAAAATCCTTCTTTCTACTTTGTCTGCAAACTTCAATGGACTTCTGCAAAAAACAAAATTTCGCAAGAACATACTGGGCGGCTTATCTATTCAGATTTAGGATCTTGCTTTGGAACTAGTGGTTGTTTTTTAAGCCGTTTCTGGAGAGAAGTACAGAGAGGAGGCGTGGAGTATTTCTCCACCAAAGTACTGCAGAGAACGTATCATAATAAACAACTCTGGCCAGCGTTGAGATCATTGCACACAACTCCAACTGCGAAAAACGAAAACGAAGGAGTTGAGCAAGAGCACAAAGCCCATCAAACCACAAGGAACCATATGCATCCCATATTGCAATGCAAAAACTTTGCATCACAACTCAAACCATAAAGGCCTGTGCAGGAGGCTTCAAAAGAAACTGGTACTAAGCCCAGGACCATATATATAATAACTTTAATAACTTCACTGTGGTGACATAAGACCTTATAAGAAAGGTACATTAAAGGTAGCTGCCTACAACAATACTAGTTGCCTCAGGTTTGTTGTTGCCTCCAAAACCAATGACGAAAGCAAATATTACATCACCAGTTCTTTTCACAAGACCCTGTGGAAGTTAAGTTGAAACTTGCACGCGAAGGGAACTTGCCAACTTGTTCAAGTTGAGCATAACAGACCCTTTTATAAAGGTTCTTATAATTAAAGACCTCTAGCAACATGTAGAAACAACTCAGAAGTTGCAGACAGCATCCGATGCCAATGCTCCTATATCTGTTTACTTGTGAAAAACTATTTTCACTTCCTCTTCTGTCAGACCCGCAAGAGCTGACAAATCAGTGAGATAACAAAAATACAGTACACATACAGTGTAGCAAAGTCTTTAAAAGGGGAAAAAAGAGCAAGTTGACTGACACCTTGATCTTGAAAATATTACATGTTTAAGACACAAAACACAGGCTTAACTCGCCATATGATTGTCTTTGACAGGATATACCAGGACATTGCCATTACAATAAAACCTTTAAATGTGAGACTCCAACAACGCACATATTTTATGAACATAATAATGACACATGATTACAATATAGCTGACAGTTCAGCAAACAAAATGCAGAACAGTGTATTTAGAAAAGGCAAAGCTGAATTACGTCTAAATTGATCTGGGACTTACAGTTTCTTCAGTGTTTGTTTTATAGTAAGAGTACAAATGCATATATACAGCAGTTTTGTAGGTTCTTGACAATATCATTTCTAATAATGTGTAGTCCATAAATCATAACTGGTTAAGCTGGACTGCCCGTTTCTGTATTTTCACTCAAGAAAAGCTTCATATCACGTAATATTAGTAACAATATTTATTTACATACAAACACGGGACTAATGCCTGTTGAGACTAATCTCCAGTTAACTGTCGTGTTAAACTAGCTGGCTACCTGTTAAAATAGCGGTGGTTAGTGGAGGTTTTCTGGTGTTCAAGCTACACTGAATAGGACTTTTAATAGCAGCTGACCAAGGGACGCTGGGAATCCATTTGACGTTTCAAAACAAAATACGGTGTGCACCTTTATCAAACTGACAGATAATACCGACTCTCTCAATAAATGAACAAATAAAGTGAACGACTACTTACCCAAATAAATGTCACCAAAGGATCCAGAGCCAATTTTCCTTCCCAGTCTGTATCGGTTTCCTACTCTCAGTTCCATGATAAATGGCTAAATAACAAAGCTAGCGATCAAGCTAGCTTTAACGGGAGTAGTTTAAATGATATACGTTCGGAGTGTTTAATAAAAGCAACGAAACCCCGTTCTTTGTTACCCGTCTATTCTTCCGTCTCTCCCTGCCAGAATCCCCTTATACAGCCTGCTAGCTTGCTAATTCCCTTCCACAGTAGCTACCCAGTTTTCACCAGTCGTTTTCTAACATTCCGAATCGGGAAATATCAAAATATCAGGCTTATTAAAAAGAGTAAAGTGTGAACTTTATGCTCTAGTAATTTTTACCCTGAAAATAGTCTGTTTAAAAAAGGATGAAGGCGGATTTTGAGAACGACTCCCTCCCAGTTCCGCGGACTCTCTGTGTATCTGCTACAACAGACGCTCCATCAGCCAGCCGACCGCCGTGGCGTCACTTCCCCTAGCAACTAGTGTTGGGTCGTTCTTGAACGATTCGTTCATTTTGAACGAATCTTTAATGTGACTCGGGAAGAACGAGTCGTCTCGGGGAGTGATTCGTTCAGTCGCGCATGCGCAACATCCTATAGGTTCTGTACTGGAATTAATCAACCTGTTTCGAGTCTTCGGGTTTTTCCGAGTCATTCGTTCATCGCGTGACAGCCCCATAAGCTTTAACCTATGCAGTCTGAGTCGGAAAGAGACTTAATAATAATAACCAACTCTTTGTTACCTTTGTTACAACATTCAGTGTTATGGAAAAGAACCATAATGACAGAAATTCACACATTTATAAACTGTAAGAAGTAAAAAGCTACAATTTGAGACCAGAAACGCATCAAGTAACTGTAAGAGTAAATAATAATTATAATAATGATGATAATAATAACTATGCACCCATTTGTAAGGAAGCTTGTAAATTAACTAATTTCTCTATCCAATGCTGTCACGTCACGTGACAAAAGAACGAATGATTCGAAAGACTCGAGAGATGAACTTATCAATTCTCGTTCCGGCTCAGACTGCATTGGTTAAGTTTATGGGGCTGTCACGTGATGAACGAACGACTCAAACCCGAAGACTTGTCAGATAAGAGCTGAGGTGAGCTAATCATAGACTGAAGACCCAGGTCAACAATGAATTAATCTTTTCTGTTTCTTATAGCAGTTTTGTATTGTTTGTAGTGTGATCAACGTTTGCGTAAGTAAAACGTAAGTAAAAGTGTTAGGGAAGTAACACGTAACATTTTAATTATATTTTGCTAAAATTAACGAAATGACTCGAAAAAAAGATTCGTTCATTTTGCTGAACGAGACTCAAAGGTCCGAGTCGGTAAAATGATCCGAACTTCCCATCACTACTAGTAACAGCGGGCCACTGGAAAATCTTGGGGTCTTCTTCTTCTTCTTCTTCTTCTTCTTCTTCTTCTTAAGCATTTTTGGCGGTTGGCAAACCACCGAATAGGTGCTTTACCGCCACCTGCTGGACTGGAGTGTGGAACAAAAGTCTGGCAGAGAAATATAACAGGATTAATAAAAAATAAATAAAAAAATGGGTGTGGGGGGGATTTGCCCTACTATTCTATGATCTTCATACACATATGATGTACATATGTTTTCCTTAGTGCTGTTCCAAGTATATTTTCCAATATGATCTTTATATTCGTTCTAGGATACCTGTCTCTTTCAGATATGAAATTAACTGCACATATGTTTTCCTTAGTGCTGTTCCAAGTATATTTTCCAAAGTTAATTTAAGTTTATATTTTTTAAATACTTCTTTTAATATTATTCTCTTATTTTCATATGCATGACATTCTATTATTATATGTTTTACTGATTCAGGTTGGTTACAATGTGTACATAGACCATTTGTATGTTTACCTATTAAATGTAAAATCTTGGGGTCAGAGGCGGACAGTAACTAAGTACATTTACTTGAGTATTGTACTTAAGTACACTTTTTGAGTATCTGTACTTAAGTATTATTTTTTCTGGAAACTTATGACCTTAATTTCTTTCTTGTTTATCAGTAATCACTCTTGTAGGGCTACATGAAGTGATTTCCCAGCATTTTTTGAACATTTTGAACACTCAAATGTGATATTTATTTACAACAATAAATAAATTAATAATAATAAATTAATATTATTGTATATATTAGACACAGTATTGTCTAGTTTTGCAAAATTGTGTAAACGAAAATATTACCTATAAAGCCACAGAAGAATGATTCTTAACAAAACACAACAGGTGTTCAACTTAAAGCAACATTGCACAGATTGTTCTGTGCAGAGTATGTGAGCGGAGCGTAGCGAGGAGTGGAGCGGTGTGATTTATGACTGA